TCATTGACTCCTTCGGTTTTAAAAACAGATTAGACCCACACTTGCCCTGGAAGTGTATCATGATAGGATCTCAGAGTAATAGTATAGAGTAATGATGGGGGAAGGCCCTGTCCTGTGTGGTATGGCTCTGGAGCCGGGGGACCAGGAGAAGTGAGAGAAAGCTCTCCATAACATGCTGAAGAAAGGCATGAAGGAGCCAGAAGTACAAGCAGGTGACGAGAGATATGGAGATAGAGATAGAGGAGAAAGAGAGATTATAGATAGATAGATAGATAGATAGATAGATAGATAGATAGATAGATAGATAGATAGACTGAGAGACTGGGAAGAGGAACCAAGACAGGCAAGGCAAAGTGGACACAAGGGCTCCCCCATTTTCCTCTACGTGGCACAGAGAGGAGAGGGGAAGCAGAGGGGGAGCTCCGAAGGTTCTCCACAGACAGCTGGCTCCCCAGAAGCCTATCAGGAGAGCCACATGATTATGGAATGCAGTGCTCCCGTTTTCCTGTTTGTCCCTTTCTGTCACAGTCTCTTACATGGCACCAAATGTGCATCACTTTCCATGTGACCTGGCCTCTCCCACGCTCCCTTATTACATTTAGGACTGACAAATCTCCAGGAAGCCAGGGAAGTTCTGCTGCCTAGAATATAAAGAACAGTATCGGTAGTAGGTTTAAAGAGGAGACTCCAGAAGCACCCTACTCTGTGTGTGTGCGCGTGTGTATGTGTGCGTGCCTGTGTGTGCATGTGTGTGTGTGTGCATGCGTGTGTGTGCATGCATGTGTGTGCGTGTGTGTGCGTGTGTGTGTATACACAGATATTGTGTGGGGAGCGTGGGTACTGGAGCTCAAACTGAATAACCATTAGTCTGTGTTGTACTTCTAGCATGTCTCCAAGGAAATCACAGTCAGGCTTGATTCCTCTAGTAATAACAGCAGTAACACATATCGCACATTTAAATGGTCGAGCATGTGCGTTATCATTAACTCCATAGAGAAAGTACCAGTGTGGTCTCTGTTTTAGAGATGAGGAAGTGTGAGCACTGATTGCTAGTCCCCTGCGAAGCCTGCTATTCACATCCTAAAAAGAAAGAAGGCAGCTCCGTATCACTTCCAAGAATATTGACATTTTTTTCAGACCATGGGTGTGCCATGTTTTTTTCCATAGCAGAACATTCATTAGTCAGCGGGCAAAAGGAAATTTATGTCTATGAGATGGAAACAATCAGTCCAACTGTCCCTCCCTCCCCCCACCTTTCAAAAAACCCCTGGGGACTAATTAAGTAATGGCTTCACTTCCTCTCCATTTCTAACTGCCAAAGGGCCTGAGACTAATATGATTGTGTTTTCCCAAGGTCAGATTGGGCTGCACAGTGGAGCCCTTTTCTAGACATCATCCAAATGATTGTTTGAAAAACAAAATCAGCCTTCCTTCTTCTGCAGTGACTTTTTCTTGATCAAATAGCTGTGATTTAGACAGTCAAGGCTCCCTGGTTTTCCAGCTCTGCCCTTGACCTAATACTCTCGGGGGCTGGTGCATCTCTGAATAATATCTTTAACATGACTTAGACTTTAGAGATAATTTTGTAAATGAGTCTATGTTTTTACATCTAAAAGCTGTTTCTCCCCTTTTTGTGATGCTAAGGATTGAACCCACGCACTTGTGTATGCTACATATGTTCTCAACCCCTCAACTATATCTGTAGCCCATGATTTTGGGGGAAGAGACTCTTGTGTAGCTCAGGCTAGCTTTGTACTCCCATTTAGCCCAGGCTGGTTCTGAACCCTATTCTCCTACCACAGATCTCTGAATATCAGTATATCATGTGTCCACCACCGTATCTAGCCTTCTTTTCCTTTCTTTTTAACAAGGTCTCATTCTTTAGCTCTGGTTGTCCTGGAATTCACTGTATAGTGAGGCTGGCCTCGAACTCACAAAGATCTGCCTGTCTCTGCCGCCCAAGTGCTCGGGATTAAAGGCATGCACCACTATGCCAGGCTCTAGCTGTATTAAACTAGATTGCTGGAACTAGCTTTTTCAAGCTCGAAAGTATTTTATGTGTATGTAATCATGCACAAGCTTTTAAACTCGACTAATGGAATGTTTAAAAACAAAGACTTACACTGAGAGTAGCTGTGTATGCCTTTACTACCAGTGCTCCAGAGATGGGGACGGATCTCTGTGAGTCTATGGACAGCCAGAGCTACATAGTGAAAACTTGTTTTGAGGGGTGAGGGTGGGGGTGAGTTTTTCTATATGTGTAGTAACTCCTATAAACCAACTGCACCTCGAAGCGTGGGGAAACTCCACAGTCACTTGTTTTTAATCCTGGATGACCTTCTGTTTTTGTTTTGGCTTTGTTGGTTGTCAGATGAAATGACAACAGTGGACTTCAGGCAAAGAAGCAAGAAGGCCAACTAAGGATAGGAGGAACCAGCACAGGTGGCCCTGTAAGCTCTCCGTGCTATGAGAAGAAAGTCTATAGCCTACAATCGTGGGGTGAAGTCCTTATTCCCCCACCACAAACATGTATGACCCATCAGACAGGAAGCACTCTGAAAGCCCTTAATACAATGTTTACATTCTAAGAAAGTATTCAGGGGTCTCTCTACCAAATCACAGCCTCCTTAAGTGCCCAGACCAGTAGATCCAAACTAAAGCCATCTGTGAGGGTGAGAAGCATAGCCCAGCTGTTGTACACAGCACTGTAAACAGCAGAAGGTCCCTTGCACAGCTGCAGGCTGATGTCACTTTCTGGAGCCTGGCCTGCCCTTTGGTTGTTGGAAGTAACAGCAGAAAGCCATCCAGTCCCCCATCTGATCGCCCTTTCTCCTTTCCGGTTCTCCCTTCCCATCTCCCTCTTCTCTGAGCTGGCAGTAGTCAGCCAAGCTGCACACTGTTTGGGCTACTGGTTTTTGTGTGTAGAAACAAAGCAAACAGCCCTATCTAGTAGTTAATGGGAGAGGATTTCTGAGTATCCTGTTTGAAACACTGACATACTGTAATTGTATATTCAGTTTGACAATAGTTTGATTATAAGCAGATGTGTAAAAACTTGGCAGGTGTAGACAGAGTTAGCCTGCACTTAGAAGCCTTTTGTGCCCACAGTGGATGCTGACTCTCTTAGTTTATTCCTGAGTGACAGGTTTGTTGAGATGTTTTTGTACCAGGTGCCTATGTACAAGATGCTTCTGTACAGAGATGTTTGGGGCAGGTGTGGGTTTCTGGATGAGCTTGGTCATGTTTGCTTGTTTGTTATCTGCTGACATGTAAAATTCTAAAACTAGCATTTCCCTCACTAGAAACGGATCCCCTCATCGATTGGCTACAAAGCATTTTTTTCAGACTTTGCCCACAAAAATGTCTAATTTGGGGCACACAGGGGACCTTATGGGAAGATGTCTATTGTTCTCAGGTTGGAAAGTCAGTTGGTAGAAGCGAATGTTGTTTGGTACTTAGAGTACCACTGGATGTCTTGGACCTCCATTTCTCCCTTATGAGCAGTTAAGAGGATGTTTGTTAGCAATTAAAAAGGCCTTTCATTATGTTTTATTAAATACTTTGAAAGAAAGAAAAAAACCTTGTAGTATTTAATCCCAAATGATTTCTGGATGGCCCCTGTCATTTGGCTCTTATCTGCCATGTCAGCTCTTCCTTCAGCATCTCTGCTTTGTGAATTGGTTTGTTTATGACTTTTGTCCATCTGCTCACGGTGGTTTTGTTTGCTTTGAAATATAGAGTCTTGCTATGTAGCCCAGGATAGACTCAAACTCAAAGATCCTCCTGCGTTGGCCTCCACATTACTGGGACTACAGGCATGCAGCACACACCACAGATCTTGCCTCTTCTTTCTGGATTTTTTTTTTTAGTAGCTAAAGAATGCTAGATACTGTTAGATATGGATTGTATGGAAAAAATTTTCTGTCTTCATACTAGAATTTTTTTAATGTATTTGTAAGTGACTCTACTTAAAAGTCCATTGCTCAAACCAAGATTATAGTGTATGACCTCATGTGCATTAAAATTAACATAACTTTATCATTTCCCTCTTCCCTTTCCTCCTCCCAAACCTTCCTATATACCCCTCCTTGTATTGTAGTTTGTTTGCTTGTTTTTAATTAAGCATGTTTTGGTGAGGATGTGGAGAAATGGAATCTTGCCTATTACATTGTACAACCACTTTAGCTAAAAGCAGAATTGCTACATGAAACAGCAATTCCTATTTCAGATACATACACAAGAAAGTTGAAGGCAGGGTCAAACCCATGTTCATGGTAGCATTGTTCAGGGCAGACTAGTGGTAGAAACAACACGTGCCATCCATGGATCAGTACGTGATAGGTACGATCAATGGAGTTGTAGTCAACCTGAAAGGGAAGACCCCGTTCCAGTTCCAGTGCAAGCCAAGGTGCAGAGGAACACTTGAGGACATCACGCTAAGTGAAAAAAGACAAGAGCTGTATGGACGAAGGATGCTTACTGAGATGGGAGACACGGTGACAATAATCAAAAGGCTGTGTGTGTGTGTGTGTGTGTGTGTGTGTGTGTGTGTGTGTGTGTGTGTGAAAGAGAGAGAGAGAGAGAGAGAGAGAGAGAGAGAGAGAGAGAGAGATTACAGAGAGAAAAGAGTTTCTGAGGTCTCAGACAAGGATCTGTTGACCCCATTCCTTTGTGCCAAGGTGCACATCATGGCAGGGAGAGCTCAAGGTTGAGGAAACAGTTTCCTTCATGCCTGGGAAATTAAAGTGAGGAAGGGAAAGATCGAATCATGGTGTCCCTCTCAAAGATATGCCCCAGTGACCTAAGGTCCACCACCATCCACTGGCCCTGGAGTCCTCTAGCACACAAGCCTTGGACAGATACTTCTTACTTGAACTGCAGTCCTGGTGCAACAGTCTGTGTTTGTGCCTCCAGAGTTATCACAGCGGTGTGTAAACGTGGCGTGTCTCAGACACTGAGCAAATGTAAAAGTCTCTCTCCTTTTTTTACACCCTTTTCAGTTGCTGCTTCAAGCACCTGTGAGAAGCTTGAAAAGGCTAGGAATGACTTACAAACAGCGTATGAAGGATATGTCCAGAAACTAAACCAGCAACATCAGACAGACCGGACGGAACTGGAGAACCATTTGAAGGAGTTATACGCCGCAGAGTGTGAGAAGATTCAGAGCATTTACTTTGAGGAGGCAGAAAAATATAAAACCCGACTGCAAGAGCAGGTCTGTGCAGCTGGGCGGCTCCAGCGTGGCTGTCTGCTGGAGTTCTAGATGCTGGCTACAGTCTTAATACGCTATCCCTTGCCTTTTAGCTTAGTTGGAGAAAGCTTTGGGGATTGATTTCTTTTTCTTAGGATGAAGCAATGTTTAGTTAAAGAAGGGACAGTGGTGATACACACCCATAATCCCACACTTGGAAAGGTGAAGCAGAAGAATCATAGTTGAGCCCAGCCTTGGCTGCAGAGAGAGCTCAAAGCCAACATGGGTAACACAGTCCCTGGCTCAAAGTAAAAACTGCCAACCCGACCAACTATGTGCTCAGTGATACAAAGGCTTGTGTGCATCTGGATTCAATCCCCAGTGCAGGCCGGCAGACAGACAAATAAAAACAAGTTCTGTGATCCCACCAGCTAGCTACTTAGAGAGGCTGTCTTAAGTTAGGGTTTTACTGCTGTGAACAGACACCATGACCAATGCAAGTCTTCTAAGGACAGCATTTAATTAGGGCTGGCTTACAGGTTCAGAGTTCAGTCTACTATCATCAAGGTGGAAGTATGGCATCATCTAGGCAGGCATGGTGCAGGAGGAGTCTGAGAGTTCTACATCTTCATCTGAAGGCCGTTAGGAGAAGACTGAATCCAAGGCAGCTAGGACAAGAGTCTTAAAGCTCATAACCACAGTGACATACCTACTCCAACAAGGCTACACCCCTTAATAGTACCACTCCCTGGGCCAACATATTCAAACCATCACAGAGGCTGAGGCAACTTTATAAGATTGTCTCAAAATAAAAAGTCAAGGAAGTTCAGAGCTACAGTTTAGAGGTGCAGCGAGAGCTTGCAAACCATGTCCACAGTTCCGGTCAAGCCCTTGGAGTACCAGAAGATATTTTTTAAGGGTTAGAAATATCCCCAAAACAATCCACTTGGAAGCATCCTGGTATTTGGCTTCTAAACCATTGGTCTGTGGTTTTTTTTTTTTAATGCCTTTTTAATAACCCGTTTTCCCCATTAGTATCATAAACTAATTTCCCTGTTTCCTATTTCCCTTCCTTTTAAGTTTAGTATCTGCTTAGTTTCTACCATATGCCAGGCATGTGCTAGGGGCTGACAGCACAGTGGTCAGCGTTACAAGTGGGGGGCTGAGGTAGACCTGTGCACTGTGGCCCTATGCCTTGAGATAGCCTCGGCCATTACCATCAGTGAAGCCCACAGTGCTTGGGCCATCTTTGTTCCTGAGGAGGATGGGTTGGAGCTGTGGGAGGAGCCAGACCAAAGTGGGTCACTCTACACACGTGTTAGATGTGTGCAAATGGATGATGGCGATCTCTAGTGTGTGCTCCTTTATTTGACTTAGCACTTTGGTTCTTGTGAGTAAATTATCATCCTTTCTGTTCCTTACAGTTTGACAGCTTAAACGCCACCCATGAAACCACGAAGCTGGAGATCGAAGCTAGCCACTCAGAGAAAGTGGAATTACTGAAGAAGACCTATGAAACCTCCCTTTCAGGCAAGGGTGCTTTTCCTGCTTCGGGAGATGGGCAATAGAAATGGCATGGCATCTAATAAAACAAAACTGACTCCTGATTCTCCCTTGCACAGAATACCCTGTGGCATTCGCTTGGCAGACCTCTTGGTTTCTTTGTGCATTGCTCTTTGTTAGCAGATGCCCTTTTCCCTTAAGGATGGAAATAATGGTTGGCTATTCATGCCAGGCCTTTAGGAAACAGGATGAACTTCCAAAGATTCTACAAACCTTTTTGGTGGTTGGTTGGGGTTGGCAGTAGTTGCTACTTTAGGTCCTGGGAAAGTCAAGATGTTAGCTTCTAGCATGGTGCTCTCCAGACTCCACACATAAGCACTCATGCATTCATGACTGTGGTAAAGGACAGTAGGATTTGATGGACAAGGACAGGCTATGCTGTTGTAAACTCACCAACACTGGAAAGCTTGGTGTCAAAAGGGAGGAACGAGGAGAAGCCATTCCCTTGAGGAGAAAGCCAGCAGTGCACTGGGGTGTCCACTGAGAGAGAGTCAGCTGCAGCTCACAGAGTAGCAGGTGGATGTTTGCTTAAAATGGCTGTGTGACCTTTGGGAGAGACTTGTCATAGGAGATTGCCCTGGGGAGTCAGAGGTGATGGCAAACATTGTCGTCTTCTTCCTGGGAAAGGGCTTAATTTTAGATTTCTGTTGTCTTCTGGAAGAACACATTGAAAGGAAGACGGGGTCCCCAGTCCAGGAATCAGAAACCTGTCTTTTTGAGGCCCTACTCTTCATTTTGAGATTTTGAAAGTTTCCTTGGCCTCTAAGGACATCAGGGTTTCTGGTCATTATACCATAAATCTCTGCCCTACCTCATAATTCTTCTCATCTGAGAAGATGCTGCTTAATTTAAAGAATCGCATCTCATGAATGGAAAGTAACATACATCATACTTCATCAGCTCCTGCATCTATATATGCCGGGTTGTGGAGTGGTGATCTCATAGGGTGTTATTACCTTAAAAGAAAAAACCCACAACAAAACCCCCTGCCTTCCAGAAATCAAGAAAAGCCATGAAATGGAAAAGAAGTCACTGGAGAATATGCTTACTGAGAAGCAGGAATCATTGGAGGTGAGTGGCCCACTCCTGGCACCGTCAGAGGGTGTGGACGAGCCCCTGTGTGCCCTGTGTGCCTCTGGTCCTTTCCCAGCATCTGATGCTCCACGTGTTCCTGTTTGTGTTTTAGAAACAAATCAATGATCTGAAGAGTGAAAACGATGCTTTAAATGAAAGGTTGAAATCAGAGGAACAAAAGCAACTGTCAAGAGAGAAGGCAAATTCAGTAAGTCGTGTATTCCTGCCGATACTGGTTTTCCTTCTGCTTGGATGCTTTTTTCCAGTTAATTAACTCTTTGGCAGCTAGAGAGATAACAGTGGCTTGGAATCTTCTTCATGATGGCAGTGTTATAGTTGTATGAAACAATTTTGTTCACTGATGGTATTTTTACATCTCCAAAAATGATTTGCAGATCAAAATCCAGAGATCTGAGCAAATACCCTTGAGAAACTGAGAAAAATCTAAAACTGGGAATATTTTCACAATAACAGTGACAAAAAGTTGCCCTATTGTGGTGTGGTTACATAACCATAAACCTTATAGTGTATTCATAACATTGTGTGTTAGACACTAGTATCTAACTTCCAGAATGTTCTTATCTCCCTAAGAGATACACACGTATGCACCAACAGCCCCACTCCATTCCTCAAGAGCCTCCTGCCCTGAGCTAACCACTGCTCTACTTCCCATTTCCATGGGTTTAGTTGCTATGAACCTTCCATATATAACCATGTAATACATACATAGCCTTTCATAACTCTCTTCTCTACTTAACCCAATGTTGTCAGATTCATCCCTGTGCCAGGGTGTGGCTACACACATCATTCTTTTTGCAGAAGGGTAATATATATATATATATATATATATATATATATATATATATATATATATAT